GATATTAGTCTTATTTTTTAAATATCCTTTTATTTCTATCATGGAAACTGAACAAATCTCATATAGACTATGAAAACCCAAAACAAAAGTGACAACAAGCAATAGATTTTCATTGCTTATGTTGTCATCAGAAAAATCTTTTCATACTCAAGGATCAACTATTTTGAGATAGATGACAATAGGAAGAAAAATATTGTTCTCATCTTTAAAATATTAATATATGTGAATAAGATTTTCTACTAACCTCTTAATTCACTCAAAATTAAGTTTAGATGATTAGCTTGAGCGAATAATATATTGTTGCTTTGTATGATCAAATGGTTAGCAGGGAGGTTCACTCTTAAATGAATTAGATAACGCCATGCTAATGATGTACGAGAATAAAGATAAACTTTGAATTTAATTATATTTGCCTAACACAATCATTTAAACTAAACTCTATGTCAACTAAGTGTTCAGTAGAAAAACTTTAACTTAATATTAATCGTAAAGTGATTCGTTAACATTTAATAGTAGAAAATGAAATGATGAGTGCTGACCGTCTATGTTCGAAATTAAGGTTTAAAAAGCGAATCTTAATTTAATTTCAAGTTTAGGTGAATGCTTGATCTGTACAACAGAAAATATGGATCTTCAACAGATTCCGTTTCGTCTGCATATAGATTTCTTACTCGCACTTTGATGAAGTCTTTGTTTTGTTGCTTCGTACGAAAGACACGTTGAGAGAAGTGACGATGTTGTGCAAACAAAAGATAAAGCAATATCAAAAAAGGATCCTACTTTTTTTTATTTCCGAAACAAAACGAAGTAGAAGAGAAAAGACAAAAAAGAACTGTTCGTTTTGGATGCAACAAATACTAAAATGGTTGCCTCTCAGAAGTAGAATTCTACGACAACTGATTAGCTGAAATCGAAAGCATTACGTAAGGGTGTCGATGCAACACAGCAACTATGATGACGGTAGAACTCATGATATGGTATAAACGATATGAATAGTAGCAAGATATTTTCCATATCCCACTGTGAAAACAACCACTTATGTGATATGCAATACAAAAAACTTCAAGTATGTACTATTTTATTCGGTAGTCTGTAACCAAAAGAATAACAGTCAAGAAAATTTTCGAACGAAAATCGATTACCGTGTGAGTGTTACTAAAAAATAGAAACAATCACATCCATCGCACCTTGAAGAAATGTATTGATAGTGTACCTTTTTCGTTCTCACGACTACTTGTCGTTTTGGCGATCGTCCATTGAAGAGAAGAGTAGTGCCTTATTCGTTTTGATATCGTCGAAAGTCTTTAAGAACTATTTTTTATTCGTAACATGATAAGGAGAATAATCAACGACATAATGGCAGGATCGCAGCATCTTATACAAGTACAGGCTCACTCGTAAACAAATTAATTATAGAAGAGAGTCAGTAGTTTCAAAAAGAAGAAATATCTTTCCCTTCTTCTCTTCTTATTCTCGTCTTGAATTTGCCTACCACAATCCTATAGAATAGGCTTTTGTCTTGCTCTCTCTCTGTCTACCTCTTCTAATTTTCTTTATTTTTTTCCGTTTTGGGTGTGCGCGTGGGTGTGGGGTAGG